TGGATCTTTATATGTAGACCAGGGCTGGTTTCAAACTCACGGGGACCTGCCTTCCAAGTGCTGGGACTAAAGGCATGCACCACCACACCCAGTCACTGACCTGTCCTCTTGACCTGGACTATCAATTCCAAACTGCCGGGTTTGCAACGAGAGGCACCACAACTGACATGCTTAATTTCTATAAATGTTTGGCAGAGTAATTCTATCTGAATCTATTAGTTTTAGAAGCTCTGGCTATTATTTTGGATATCATCTTTTAAAAATGTTTTACTAGGAGATGAAATCAGTCCCCCACTACCACAAATTATGCAGTCTAGTTCCCCAAATTTGGGGGAATGGCAGGGGTCAGCACATGGCATGCAATGGATAAGCCTCACCCTGGGAAAACCACCGTCCTGACGATCTACTCTAGTAAGAGTAGACTTACCACAGCTTATGAGAATACTGGTGTGTAAAACACTGGAGTCCACTCCAAGCATTTAAAAATGGCAATATCAATGGATGTGTAAGTAAGGGGGAAATTTTTTGAGGGGTCCCACCTGAAGACAAAGAACTAAAGGAAACTAATGGCTGCTAGAATTCACCTCTCTGAGGGATGAGTCCCCATATTGTTTGTCCAATGCAAAGTGGACAGTCTTGCAATCACACACACAAACAGAAATGGACCCAGCAATTTTACTTATATTTGTGCACACACACACACACACGTGCATGTAACAAGGACCAAAGAAAAAGTATCAATCTGTGGGAGGACTGGAGGCTCAGAAGGGGGAAAGTGATATAATTCTATTTCAACTAAAAACATTAAAGCTTTAACTATATGAATGTGCTGCCTGCACATACGTATGCAGTTCCCATCAGAGGAGGGTGTTAGATTCCCTGACACCGATTTTAAAGACAGTTGTGAGACGCCATGTGGGTTCTGGGGACTGAAATATGGGTGCTCTAAACTGCTGAGCTATCTCTCCAACTTCTTTTTTGTTGCTGCTGTTGCTTTGAGCCATTGTGAATGGATTCCCACCCCCCGCCCCCCGTTTCTCAGCAAGCTAAATAACAGAAAAACTGATAACACCTGGCATGGTGGCACAGACCTTGAATCCCAGCACAAGTTCAGAGGCCAACTCATTCTACATAGTGAGACCCTGTCTAAAAAAAAAGAAACCAATACTGATTTGTAATTTTTTCTTTTTCTTGGAGACAGTGTTTCTCTGTGTAGTCCTGGGTAGCTCTGTAGATCAGGCTGGCTTCGAACCTGTCTGCTTCTGCCTCCTGAGTGCTGGGATCAAAGGTGTGTGCCACACCAACTGGCATCTTTCCTTTTTTTTTTTGAGACAGGGTCTATGTAGTCCTGGAGCATACTATGTAGACCAGGCTAGCCTCCAGTTCCTCCCGTTGCTGCCTTAGATCTGAAGCTTTTAAGTCTCTCAACTTGGTGTCCTAAGCCTTTGGTCCTTCTGGAGGACAAGCTGGCTCTCCTCCAGTCTGTCACCATGAAGGGAGGCTACACTGTCAAAGCCCTCCCCCCCTTTTTTTCTGTGTAGCTTTGGAGCCTGTCCTGGAACTCACTCGGTAGCCCAGGCTGGCCTCGAACTCACAGAGATTCTCCTGCCTCTGCCTCCCGAGCGCCACCACCACCTGCCTTTTCTGCGTTACTCAGCACTAGACTTGAGATAACAATGACCGACATCAAACCATGCTTGTGTACCTTGGCTGAAACCTATTGCTTCCGGTACCTTTTTGAGCATGTGCAAGTCCACAATAGACTTTTGGCTCTCCTGGCGCTGGGGTTGGACAGTTACAAGCCACCTCAGGTGCTGGACTCAAACCTGGGTCATCTGATTCACCCTTGTTTTTTGTTCTTGTATAGGGAACAAGAATTAAAAATTCATGTCACACGATGGCTCAATGTGGTCATACCACATTTATTGCTACCTCACGGTAACCACACAACCTCCAATCTTTCACCTAACTAGCCTAGCATCTTCCAAACCTGCCTTTCACTAAGTGTATTTTCTTACTGTCCTCTTAAATCAATCTGCTCCGAGTATCACTCTTGCTGGCACTGAAGGCATGTGAGCCCAGCCCAGAGCTCATTTCAATGTTCTTGTGTTTTCTTTAAATACTGAGCACCAATGGGCCAGGATTATACACTTAGCATTTTTATTCTCTTGTTGTTTTGTTTTTCAAGACATGGTTTCTCTGTGTAGCTTTGCACCTTTCCTGGATCTCGCTCTGTAGAACAGGCTGGCCTCGAACTCACAGAGATCTGCTTGCCCCGCTCCCCCTCCCTCCCCCTCCTCCTTTCAAGACAGTCTTAGCTGTCTGGAACTCAGATCTGCCTGCCTCTGCCTCCCTAATGCTGTGACTGAAGGCGTGCACCCACCACCGCCCCACAGCATTTTTATTCTCTATGCATTTATACGTGGTACTATGGTCAGCACTTCCTGCCGAGTTAATAGAACAAATGAAACGTCTATTGTGTGAGGAAGGGGCACAAATGTTGGGGGTTAGAGGACAACTCATGCGCCTTGTTCCTCTATCATGTGGGTTTTGAAGATTAAAGTCAACAGGCTTGGTTGCCAGGGGTTTTACTGGCAGGGCCATCTCATGTTCAATGCATAGCAGGACCGTTTCCTAGTTATTTGTACACGTCCAAGTCAAGTCACTAGAAATGACTTTACACAGGTCAATCAAAATCCCTGTTGTCTCCAGAACCAGACAACTGCACATTTTGGGGAGTTTTGAATTGTCAACAAAGTTAATGGCAATTCTTCCTCAGCCTCCTGACCCCTGGGATTAAGACAGTTCAATCAAGATACTTATCATCCAGGAAGCAAAGACACTTGACAGATCAAACGAAAACAGGAAGAAAACCAGAAGTCAGGAAGGCACAGAACTCAGAGTTCAACCGAAACACCAGCAACCCATGGAGAGTCTGAAGGCAGGAGGGAGGGGACCCAAGCAGAGCAGTGGGGGCCAGAAACCCAAACAGCAGCACTTATTTGTCTAAGAACAAAAGCTGTCGTTTACTTACTGTATTTGTCTCGTGACACAAACGGGAATCTCTCATGCTCACCAATGAACACTGAAATTCATATCAACAGTTCTATGCATCACATTTGATCGTGTTCTTTTTTTTTTAAGGATGTCTATTCTTAGGAGGTGGTACACAAACACCTGTAGGGCTCAAGTGATCCTCTGCCTCAGTCGGAAGTAGCTGAGTTGTCAAGGGATTCTAATCCTGGTTTTTCAAACAGAAAACCAGCAAAGCATTTTCTAATTTAAGCCCAACCTGAGAATATCAGAACATAGCATTTTTCATGCTTACTAGACACATAGTCAAAAACAAAAACCAACAACAAAAAACAACCCAAAACAACCAGGAGCAGAGGTAGTCCTTGCCCAACAAACTTTAATAAAAAAATTATATAAGCACCCTGCTGACAGCTTAAGAGTTGAATCTACAAAGGGTTGTAAACGTCTACCTTCAAATATTTGAATTTCTCTAGTTTTTGGCCAAGTAGACATCAGACAACAGAAAACCTTCTGAATGTTACTAGACAATTAAGCAAACTTTTATTGAAGCTTACATTGTGGTACAGAAATACATTTCAACTGATTAAAAGCCCAACACCAACGAAAAGAAATTATGGCACCCAAACTTCCCCTTCTGCAAGGATAACTATTCAATCTACTGTTGGTTTTCTTGGCTTTTTCCACAAGAATCTATGCAAATTTCAACATTATAATTTGTAATTCTGTAAGATCGGGGAATGATACCTCAAACCAACAAAATCTAGTGGGTTACAAAATCCAGCTTAAATAAGCACTGGTCCTCCAAATAGCAGTTCAAAACATTAGGTGCTGTGCTCATTACACAACCAGACTGATAAAGCTGATTGGAGGCTTCCCCAATGAAGCATTCAATCAACAGCATGCTTAAAGTAAAAGTCCAGACAGTGTTCCAACCACTTGATTTCAAACCAAGTAGATTCTATGTTTAGAAACGCTAAAAAAGTGTTTCGTTATAAATACGGAAGGAACAGAACATCACTGCATCAGTCCAGAAACTACCAAGAAAATAGTACGAAGGCAATAAATAGGAAATTAAGTCCATTTTGCTCCTCCCAGCTGTTTAAATCCCACAATATCTGCAAATGCCACTAACATGCCAACTCTTGAAAGCCTGTATTTCTAGTCCCATTAAACATTTCAGACTATTGTGTTGTTTTGTGTGTTCATACATTTACTACCTGGCTGAGTAACCTGGATAGTCCTCACTCTGGGCAGTCGTTCATTGGATCATGTGAACACCGTGGTGAACGAAGACCACACAGAACAGGTGAAGTCAGAACAGCTCACATGCATCACACACACACAAAAAATACAGCTTCTAAGTCAAAGATGGAAATGCCACAGATTCTCCTTTGAATCAAATTTTCTTTTAGTAGAAATTGGTGGCAATAGGTTAAAAGTTAACCACACGTACTGAGGTCAGAATATCTAGGATTAATTATCTGCCTTGACTCAGTGGACTTCTTCTGGTCACTAATAAGTCAGTGAAGGCATGGCAGGTGCTCCATTAAAGCTAAAAGTGCACCGCATAGCCGACCGGTTCCAGCGAGTTTTATTTTTTTTTTTAAATGGGTTCTCTCTGCTAATCACCCCTAGAGACCGAACTCTTTTCATTTAATACATTCAGCTTTGTCATTTATCTTCCACAGTTCATGCCAATAAGGAGGCCCCATTCTTATGTCTTTAAAAAAAAAAAAAAAAAAATCAAGCCAGGGACCGCCTCAAACATCCCACCGGGGTATAAGATTATATATAAGCCCTGTGTAACTGTGTATTGCTTTCATGGGGGGAGCAGTGAGTTGAGGGAAGAGGAAAAGACTCCGTGGTGAGAGAAGAAATCAATCACAGGACTATAAAAGCAGGAACAACTATTCACACAGCAGAACACAAAACAGTAACCCGAATCAGCATTTTCTTACAAGGACTCAACTTGTGGAAGAAAAACTTTAATTGCCATTGCATAAAACACCTGTATGAAGTAAAAATCGGTCTTGAATAACATTAGTAGAGAATATGCTCTAGAAAGTGGAGGTAACTGGATGTAAAAACTCTGGCAGCAATTTAATAGAACAGTCGCAGATGGTCAGCTGAGGCCAGCATCTAATGAGGACGAAAGCCTTGTCTGTGGGGGATTTTGGACGATGCCTGCAGAAATATTACACTGTGCATAAACCAAATTGAATCATTTTCACAAGTGTCGTAAGGATTCATACAGTCAAAGTTCTTTTCTACATGCACTTCAATTCCACAGCAAGAGTGGCATAGAACACCTAAACACAGAGGAGAGCATTCATGCAAGATATCTAACTCCTTGATATAATAATGCATACACTTCAAAATGGTTACACTATCAATACACCTAGGGCTTTCTGCAGCTACAAGGTGGTGGTCATGGAGAACACAGCCCCCAGTGTCAACATCTAGAAAGCAGCCACCACCTCCTGTGTGTCTTCTCTTTTTGCGTTTTTTCTTCTTCATTTTTCTTAATCAACTCTGCTGTTGTTGCTGCTTCTTAGCAAAACTGGTAAAAACAAAATTGTAATCATTGAACATAGCACTCTGGCAATCAAGACGTTTAAAACCTTCAATCTTCTGGGGGGAAGAAAGCACTGTGCGACATTTAGAACTCTGGGGAAAAATGGAAACAAACATTAGTACTTCCAATCTCTAGATTATTTTCAGACAAAACAGTAATGCCTATTTTCAGACAAAACAGTAATGCCATGATGACTATCTTAATAAAAGATTTTATTTATTTAATGCGTGCGTGCGTGTGTGTATACACACGTACGTATGTACGATTCCTTGGCATTTCGGTGTTTTATGAGCTAGCTGATGTGGGTGCTGAGATCTGAACTTGGGTTTCCTGCTGAAGGTGCTCTTAACTACTGAGTTCTCTCCAGCCCCAAACTGGCATCTTATCTTTTTTCTTGTGGGCGTCTTATAGTCTCTGACCAGGCTGTCAACAGGGAGCATCAGTACAACAAGAGCTTGCTAACTGGGTGCTACACAAAACAGACTACTGAAAATCTAATGAAACGTGCAAGGTTTCTCCGCCCACAGTAACCCCTGGGAATGGCACTGCATTACATACAGCTCAGTAACCAGGTACAGTTGTCACCCTACAGCATGTCTTGTGGCAATCCCTGTTATCCCATTTACTTCAAGGCTTTATTACTCCTAGCAACCACATTAGTTGGGCTGGGAAGTGCTTGCCTAGCATGTGCAAGACCATGGATTCAGTTCCTAGTGTGGCTGAAAGGATAAAGAAAACAGAAGTCAAATTACCTGATTAACAAACAAGGTGGTCACAAATTTTCCTGGCTTGAAGACTTCCACAACCTTCCTGATCAGGTCATCGTAGGAGGTCTGACTTAAGTTTGTTTCAAAGCTAACATAAGAGAATTCTGGTTCTGGAGTGATGTGAATAGTCCAATATGTTCCCTTTGAGAAAAGTTGTATTAGTAGTAGTAATAGAAAGGAAAGATATAAATATTAAAACACCATTGAAGATTCATTCTATTTACTTACATCCGATTTCATCCCATTCATTGAGTAGCCACAAGGATTGAACAGTGTGGCATCAATGACAGAACCTGGTATCAGGTCACGAATTCCACTCTCACGAGTGACATCCTTTGCAGTAACACCATCTTTCATGTAGAACTGGTCCATAACTGCTGGGTCGAGCTCACTCATCAGAATTTCCAGGGTTTGATCTGGCTGATTGATTACTCGGCTCTCTGGGAAATCCAAAGTATACAAGTACCTACATAGAAGTAAAGCAGCTTAGCTTCAACAGAGCTTACAGATTAGAATGAGCCTTACATCAATTCTTTCAAGAATGCCCATACCCAGCAGAGCAGCTGTGGCACACTCCCAGCACTTGGGAGGCAGAAGCAAGCGGATCTCTGAGTTGAGACCAGCACGATCTACAGGGCAAGTTCCAGGACAGCTAGGGCTACACAGAAAAACCCTGTCTCAAAAAGCCAAAAGAAGCTCAGGACCCCCTCTCTCACCATGGCCATACTTAAAACCTTATAGCAGCTGTGGCTGCTGTATCAGACCAAGCCAGGTAACATTCTAGCCTTGAGTCGAAGGGGGGGTTTCATGAGCCCCCAACCTTAACAGAAAAGCCAGGGACGCCTGATGGCTTCTGAGGGAAGAGTTAGTTTGTCTTTAAGGGTTCTAGGTGGTTGACAAACTCCAGTGGATGGCCGGATGAATACCCAGGAATATAGATAGATACGAGCAATGAATTCAAACACTCTCTACCACTGAACTACACTTCCCATCCTTTTCCTTTTGTCTCACTACACTGTCTTTACTGGCCTTGTTCCTCTTACCGCAGCCTTCAGAGTAGCTAGGATTAACAAGCATGGGCTACCAGGTCTAGCTTAAAACAATACCCCTGTTCCCTCCAAAACCCCCACACACGGGCAACAAAACCAAACCAAAATTACATACCAACAGTCAGAATTCATACGTCCCATACAATATGCTGCTCCGTCTGTAAGGAAAGAGAATATTTTTAAAAATCCACTTAACAGGATGGTTCATTATCAATCATTCAATGAACAGTTTTATTAGTCACCTATTAAAAATGTCATCAGTGAAGAGAAATTAAAGTGGGTAAGTTCGAAGAAGGAAAAAAAAACCCATCTTCTTAGCGCTCTTTTTAAAAGGTTTGTTGTATGTGTATAGTTTGCTGGCACCACATGGTACTTTGTGCTCACAGGTCAGACCCATCACTCTGTGGGCACCAGGTCCTCTGGAAGAGCAGCAAAGGCTTAAATCCCTCAGTGCCTCCCTTTTGCTCTTACACATTTTTCTTCTGGCTGCCACTGATACTCCTGAAATACAGATGGACCTAAATGGTTGAGAAACTACAGTTCACCTTCTTCCTAAAACTCTCACAGGCAGAGAATTGGTTACTTTTCTATTCTTCTTCTAACTAATAAGCTGTTTTACTTACATATCCCTTCCAAACTGTTTTAAGATTTCCCTTAGCACAGCAAACCAACTAGGAAATGACACCAGTAAATATCCACCACTTTCTGGCAGTACATAGTGTTTGAGGTCATAAATTACTGGCAAATACCTGAAGTCTTTTTATTTCTTGAAGTATTGAAGATCAAATTCAGGGCCTCACACACGCTAAGTATGCATTCACCACTATTTGTGAGCTACACATACCTTACCCCCAGGATTTTTACCTCTAAATCCATTCCTGTAAGTGATTTTGCAAAGTTATGAAGATATCTTAGGTTTAGAGCCACCTACCTTATTTCACCCCAGCTGGTGGTTTTGAAACAAGTTCTCACTATCTGGCCCAGACTGGCCTTGAATGTTAGGCTCAAGGGCTCCTTCAGTTGACTTACTAACCAGGAATACAGGCTTTGCTTCCCAATGACATTGTCTACCTTAACAGCACTGACATTATTTTTACAATTACACAATACAACTTGTACTGTTACCCACACAACCAAAATTTGCTCAAAATCTTTAAACATCCAGATAAACAGAAAAAAAAGCACAGAATTAATATAGCACCACATTTACACACACACACACACACACACACACACACACACACACACACACACACACACACACACACTTCCAGTAGCAAACAATTCAAACAATGATGGAGTTCCAGACCAGCCCCAGACCACCAAGGGCTAGCTACATCATGGGATCCTGTTTCAGAATCACAACAAAAACAAACACCCACCCATCTTTAAACGGTTGTACACCTAACTTTAACAGATTAGAATTACTACGCTCTATTTTTACTTACTTGGGAAAATTGCATTCAGAAACTCAATTTCTTCCTGGAAATTCCGGTGTGGGTACCCTTGGTGAGAAGGCTTCATGAAATTCTTACGAGAATAAAAGAAGCTCTTAAAAGAGAGAGAAAGATCTTTAGGAATTTTTCCCTAAATCAATTTTCTACATGTAGAAAAGACAACAAAATAAAAACTTTACAAATGTTTCAAGGTGTAACTGTGAAGCACACAAATTAGCCACCAGAACGACAATAATATGCATAATTTCACAACTGCAACGAACTTTTAAAGCTGGAATAGAATAAAAAAAAAACCATGTCTATCAACAGGTCAGAAGCACAAAACACATTTCCTCCTAGAAAAGTGCTTCCTTTTAAGGGTCCTACCTTCGTTTTGATTCCCAGCACTCATGGAGGCTCACAAATCCTCTCTAAACTCCAGCCCCAGGGAATCTGATGCCCTAGTCTGGCTTCCATGGGCACTGGGCACACATGGCACACACATTCATACACATGTGCACAAGCACTAAGAAGTGCGTGTGGAGGTCGGAGGACAATCTGTAGTCATTTCCCTCCTACCTTTTGTGGTTCTAGGGATAAAACAAGGTGTCAGGCTTGCACGGGAAGTGTTTTTCAAGTCAGTCAACACTATTAAGTGCCTATGTTTTAGATTTCTTACAAGGACAGTTGAGTAATTATCAGAAGTGCACTAGTGGGAGGGGTGCGATGGATCACAGCTTTAATCTTAGTACCAAGGACACCAAAGCAAGAATGTAATATTGTTGGTTGTTTTTTTACTCTTGAGGGGTCCACCACCCAACTCCCAAATAAATCACACACAGAGGCTTATTAATTATAAATGCCCAGCCTTAGCTTGGCTTGTTTCTAGTCAGCTTTCCTTAACTTAAATTATCCCGTCTACCTTTTGCCTCTGGGCTTTTTTCCTTTTCTTACTTTTGTAATCTTACTTTCACTCTTACTCTGGCTGGCTCCATCTTTCCTTGCACCTCTTCCTTCTTTTCTCTTGCTCTTGTTCTCCCAGACTTCTATATATTCTCTCTGCCTGTCAGCCCTGCCTATCCTTTCTCCTGCCTTGCTATTGGCCATTCAGCTCTTTATTAAAAGTAAGTAACATAGCGTCACAGAGTTAAACAAACAAATGCAACATAAAAGAATGCAACACACTTTACAACATTAAATGTTCCACAGCATAAACACATCTTAAAATAATATTCTACAACAGTGTAAATCCAAGACCAGCCAGGGCTCCAAAGCCAGCTCCCCCATTTCCCACCCTCCAAAATAGGCTGAGTATGGTAACATGAATCTGTAATTCCAGAACTCTGGAAGAAGGGGCAAGAGGACTGAGTTTGAGGCAAGCCTGGGGTATACCCCCAAACAGCATTAGCAGGGCAGGCAGTTTAGTGACAGAACTTTTGACTAGCATATGTGAAGCCTTGGTTTGGGTTCAGTCCCAACCACAGATGCAAAGAAACCAAAATTCTGAGATTTTAATGACATTTCTTTCTTTTAGGTAAAATATTGAAATCCAACCCAAACAGAAACCACTCTTTTGACACTGTGTCTGAGCACTTACTTGAATTGAGTCAAACCCACTGTAATCCCTAGCAAGCTTCAACAGGGGAACCAGTGCTTTCAGTAAGAGGGTGGTACCACATGTCTTCAAAATGAAACGTCTCTTGGAGACAAACATGCTACTCTCACTGCAACAGAAAGGCACAAGGTCATTACCTCAGCATATTTTACTGAAAATACAATTAATGTACCAGTGCAGCAATTTGTAATTTTTACATCACCATTGGATGTACATTATATGCACAAAATTAGAACTAGAAAAACTATTAGCTTTATATCCTTTCATAGCTCATGCCTATAACCTACATTCAGTCACTCTTCATATCCCCTAATATTTAACCTCTCAATCTCTCTTCTACACACATACATAACTATTGGCTAGGGTGGGAGTACATGCATTAACTGTGTTATCTTGCTTAAATAGTACATCCCAAGTCCTTATTGTTCCTGAAATTGTGTGATTTTATTTTTTTCTTTAGAGTGAATATTTAGTTTTATTTCACATTCATTCTTATGTCTGGACACCACACACCACAGCCTAACCAAGTACGGATGGTATTGTGTGCTCACCACTATTTCCTAAGTAACAGATTTTACCTCCTCGTGGACACCACTGCTCTCCCGTGTTTTTTCATCTTTAACTAGATAACAAGCTTTGTGAGGAAATCAATGTTTTTGTACATCATTATATACTTGGCATGGTACACAGTAAGCATTGACCAACATGTGCGTATGCCAAACACAGACTTAGTTAAAAATAAAGCCAGATATTATGTATGTTATGTAATGTAAGGCCCAATGCCCACAGTATAAACTATGCATTCAAAGCATTTATTGGTTAAGCCAACCTTGCACCTAATTTTAAGGCCAGCCTGGTCTACAGAGTGAGATCCAGGACAGGCACTGAAACTACACAGAGAAACCATGTCTCAAAACACCAAAAACAAAACAAAACAAAACAAAACAACAACAACAAAAAACCCAAAACCAAACCAAACACCCTGGAAAACACAGATTCCATGAGAGGAGAGTGTGGTGTGTCTCACCCATGGCTACAATCAGGACTCACCTGAGTACATAAGCTTCCTGCTTGTCAGTCTTTGTCACACTTATGATTGAGCACTGCACATCCTTCAAAAGGACATCCCACTCAGATCTGTCATTCAACAAAACCCACAATTAGCAACAGGACTATTTCTACCAGACTTTATTCTTTAAGACCACCTTTGTCCTCCGTTGTTAGAGATGGAACCTGGCCCGTGAGAAGCAAGCACTCCACCGAGTTATATTTCTAGTCTCTTAAGATAGATTTTTAAACAGAAAATCTGACACAGTAACTAGGACCATTTAACCCATTTATTTATTTGAGACAGTGTTTCATTGGGTAGCCCTGGCTCCTGTACACAGGCTGGCCCCCAACTCAGATCTGTCATTAAAGAGTGTACCACACCACACTGGCCATTTCCCTTTTCTTTTCAAATTAAAAGTAATTATTTATTTTATGTGTGTAGGATATTCTGCCCACATGTCTGCATACAACATGTGTATGGTGCCCAGAGGCCAAAAGAGGCCATCAGATCACTGGGAATGGGAGTTACAGATGGTTCTAAGTGGCCACATGGGTTGCTGGAAATCCAACCTGTGTCTTCTGGGAGAGCAGCCATTGCTCTTTACCAGGAAGTCATCTCTCCAACCTCTCCATTTACTATCATAAGCAAAGAGTATGTATTTCTTTGGGGCAGGGAGGGAGAGGGTCCTTTCTTAATAACGATCTTTTTGTTTTGTTTTGAGATGAGTTTCTCTGTGTAGCCCTGGCTGTCCTAACTTACTCCATATCATGCTGGCTTTGAACTCGGAGACCCACCTGCCTCTGCCTCCCAAGTGCTGGGATTAAAGGTATGTACCACTACAACCCAGCTTTTTTTCAACATCTTTAACAGTTACTTCAATATACTTACTAATACTTACATTCTAATCCACATACTTCCTTGTTGGGGGTTGAGTTGTTCTTTGCACAGGCTACAGACAAATGTCCTTGGCCTTTACCCACTCACATGCCAGAAGAAGCACCCCCCAACCTTCATCTGTGCCAATCAAAAACATCTCCCAATACTGCCACATGTCTCCTGGGTAGCAACTGTCCCCAAGTAAGAAATACTGAACTAAGTCAACAAGAAAGTATCTTTTAATGGGTTGGCTTTGTTGACTATCAGTATGAATGCTATGTTTAAAATCTGTAATATCGCCGGGCAGTGGTGGCCCATGCCTTTAATCCCAGCACTCAGGAGGCAGAGGCAGGAGGATCTCTGTGAGTTCAAGGCCAGCCTGGACTACAGAGTGAGTTCCAGTAAAGGCGCAAAGCTACACAGAGAAACCCTGTCTCGAAATAAAAAACCAACCCCCCCAAATCTGTATATAAAGACTTACCAAATAGAACCATTTGGTGAAATAGTTAATATAGGCTAGTAATTTTAGTGCAGGGTTAGGAATAAAGCACACATCTTCAACCTTTATTACTGACTCCACTGGACTTTCTAAACAGATAAATAGCTAACTCAGAAATGCCTCAGCCAACTATAAAGTTTTGTTGTCTTCCTATCACATGGACACCAATAAAAAAAGTCAGCATACCTTCTTGTAAAGCTAGGAGATAATTATTTCAAGGCAGATAAATGCTCTTAAACTAATCAGTTCTGCCTCTAGTAGACAAAAATTACCACAGATACTATATATGAATAGACTACTGTAGGTTCCAATAAGGCATTATGTACCTTCATAATCATTTGGTTAAGACTTTAAGTCAGTGTTTCCTTTAATTCCATGAGAGAAAAAAATACTGACTACTTTGAACATCACTGTTAGTTGAGGAAGAAGCATGCTGGGATGCGAAGATGGAGGAAGCACAATTCAGTCGTCTCTTACTAACTAGAACTGGGCAAAGCTGTGTGCTGTACTCAGCACCTGTAACTATGCTTATAACCTAGCAGTGGAGAGGCCTGGACTGCACAGCTGTCTCAAACAAACTAGCCACAAGATGATACTCAGTGCCTGCCTAGCATACATAAGGCTGAATTCCAATCCTAGCTCTTTCCTCCAAGTGAAAGCAAGCAGCAGTCATGGAAAACTGTATAGAACCCCCACACATGAAAGTTAGGTCTAGAACACTGCACTCTCAGCATAACTTACAATATCTTTAAAAAAAAAAAAAAAAAGGAGCCGGGCAGTGGTGGCGCAAGCCTTTAATCCCAGCACTCGGGAGGCAAAGCCAGGCGGATCTCTGTGTGTTCGAGGCCAGCCTGGGCTACAGAGCGAGATCCAGGAAAGGCTCAAAGCTACACAGAGAAACCCTGTCTCAGAAAAAAAAAAAAAAAGTAAGCCCCATCAAATGCTTGAACTAAGAGCATATTAACTAACATTAAACAGTCACAAATACTCTACCATTCCACCCAAGTCAAGTCTACACAAGCTAAAAAGGCAGAAGAGGAGCTGGAGAGATGGTTCAGTGGTTGAGAATACTGCCTACTCTTATAGAAGACCTGGGTTTAATTCCCAACACCCACATCTACCACATCATTATTCTTTATTTTTATACTGCTTTAGGTATACATAAGCTAGACTTTTTTTTTGTAGTTCCGGTGCCTGTCTGTCCTGGATCTCGTTCTGTAGACCAGGCTGGCCTTGAACTCAGAGATCCACCTGGCTCTGCCTCCTGAGTGCTGGGATTAAAGGTGTGTACTACCGCCGCCCGGCGCTACAGACTGTTTTTTAAAAGAGACTTTTATTATTTTGTGTATGAGTGCTTTGCCTGCATGTATGCCTGTGCACAACATACATGCCTGGTGCCCACAGAGGGACTGTGGCATCAGATTCACAAGATAAAACTATTTGAACTACAGTGAGTAAACAAAAATGGACACAAGGAGAAAGAACAGTACCAGTAGGTACAGTAGACAGAATGAAATCAGGGCCAAGAGGACAGCTACGTCGATTCTATTGCCAGAGACTATCTGAGAAAGGCGGCCAGAGATTTAATCTATGATTACATTCATGCCACTTCCTAAGTAAAATGGCTGGTTTCAAAGTTCAGTTTACCCAGTCACTGTTTAAAATTCAACAGAAGCTACCAAATTAGTGAGAACACACACAGCTTTACTATGGTCTGTTTCTGAGACTCTTATACTCAGGCCACTACTAACCCAAGGCAGACCTTGTGTCAAAAGTAACCAAACACATAGTATTTATCATGGCTGCTCACAACTGCTTCCACTCCAGCTCCAGGGGATCCGATGCTCTCTTCTGGCCTCCAAGGGCACATGCATGTGTGCACGCATGCACACAAACGCCTAAATAAATTGTCCCAAATTTATCTGTACAATTTTCTCTATTGCTGCTACTTTATTCAGTGTATGTATGCTTAAGATAGATAGCTTGGAGGCAACAGAATGACTCAGTGTATAGTACCCGAGTTTGACCCACAGAACCACAGGAGGGAGTGAGGGAGGGAGGGGGGGGGGCGAGATGGAAAAGAACTGACTTTGGTTAGCTGCCCTCTGCCCACAGGAACAAACACTTGCAATAGGGCAGCACTACAACAAGAGTTGGTGTGGGAAGCCATGGATCCAACTCAAAGGTTCTCTGGCAATGCACTGTGAATTCCCCTGTCTAAGTGACCAGAACTCAACACTGCAACAACAACAGTCAACTAAGAAGGGAGCTCACAGAGTGTCATGGCTGAGGTGTGACTACCTCCAACAAAAAGAAAGAGGAGGGCCTCAGGACTCAGGCCTGGTGGCACGGCCTTTAGTCCCAGCACTCAGTATGCAGAAGCAGGAAGTTCTCTGTAGTTCAAAGGCCAGCCGAGTCTACATAGTGAGCTCCAGGACTATGTAAAAAGACCCTGTCTTGGCATTAAAGCCTGGAAGACAAACCCATTTTGCTTACTTAAAGGGTCTGCTCTATTCGCTCACACCATACACAAAAATCACTTTCAGGTGAGTTTTGTATCAGTATGAAATGTAAAACCTTTATGGGAAAACATCTTCCCCAGACCGAGATTAGCAAAGATATTTAAAATAGGGCGTCACAAAAGCTACCAGGAAAAATTATTACCAATAAACTAAACTTAATGTGTGCCCATCAGTATGGGTGGACATGCATGGAGTAGCCAGATGACAATTTACGAGTGTGTCTGTCTCCTACCTGTCCCAGCCTCCCTAGGGTTCTGTACTGGGTTAAAGGAATCAAGTTCAGGTCCTAGCCCTGGGCTAACTGTAAGCTATCTCCCCAGACCCGTTTGTTTTCTGAGACAGGGTCTCACTCTTGCCTAGACTAACCTTAACGCCCCTGAAATCCTACTGCCCCATTCTTCTGGTTCCAGGTGAGCACCACCAGCTCAGCTGAAATCCTAACAGAGCCTGGCTACATACAGATCAAGCCACCACCTCAAAAAAAAGAAAGAAAAAGGAAGTGAATCCAAAGTTACTTCCTATAAGGAGCATCTCCAAAAAGATACAGGATTGATGGGGGGGGGGGGGGGGGCTGGGATCTCACTTTGCAGACCAGGCAAGCTGCAAGCTCATAAAGATCCATGGCCTCTGTACCTGAGCCCCAGGATGAAGGCACATGTCACCACACCCATCAAATTTTATCATTATTGTGTATGCGTATCTGGTATGCATGCCATGATGTACTTGTGTATGTCAGAGGACAACTCTTAGGAAGTATTTCTCTCCAACTTTTATGTGGGTTTCTGGGATGAAACTCATCTTGCTTTTGTAGACAAGGCATCGATCTGCCTGCCTTTGCTTCCAGGATGCTAAGATTAAGATCATGTGCCAAAATATCCAGCAGCACATTCATGCCCCTTTGCAATCCAGCCCTCCCTTTGTCAAGGCCTCCAGTCCACCACTGACCGGTCTTGTCAGATCAGTTTGCACTTCTGGTTTACAGAAATGAAATCTTAAAGCACGTACTTTTGTCTGGCTTCTTTTCTCAGCATATCTGTTTTCGTCATTACTCATGTGTTGTATATATCAATGGCTCATTTATTGTTGGGTAGCACTCTGTTGTACGATTTTACAACTATCCATTTGTTCTTTATTTTATTAAAGATGTACGCCACTAATTCCTAACCACCTCCCCCTGCCCCCCTTTAGGAGAACTGTTTCCAGTTTGGGAGTTTATCACAAAACTGCTATTAAAATTCCTAAGTCCTTATATGGAGATATATTTCCTGCTTTTGCTGGCAAACACAAATAAACCAACTGGATCTTTCTTAAAATGATCAGGCCTGGTTATGTTGTTTAAGATGTTCCCCTGCTTCATGCAGAAGGTGTGAAAAAGCAGCCCTTATTTCTAAAAGGCACGGCACCTCTGTAGATACTAAGATATCTATTCTTCGTTCTTTCTGCAGGCTTATGTTCACTATGCTTCAAACATAGACTGCTTCTATTTTTTTTTTTTATTTTTTTTATTTTTTTTTTTTTAGGTTTTTCGAGACAGGGTTTCTCTGTGCAGCTTTGCGCCTTTCCTGGATCTCGCTCTCTAGACCAGGCTGGCCTCGAACTCACAAAGATCCGCCTGCCTCTGCCTCCCAAGTGCTGGGATTAAAGGCATGCGCCACCACTGCCCGGCCATAGACTGCTTCTTTATTTAACTGGTCTGCCCATCTTTCAACTTCAGCTTGTCTGCTCACATTTCCATAGCTATTGAAGGCAGTATTTTCAGCAATGACATGTAAGGACTTTCTGATTATCAAATATTACTCAATACAACACAGTTTAATGAGTTCCAGGCCAGCCAAGGCTACATGGGGGAAACTATATCCCAAACACAAAACCCTGAAAGTTTACTTTGTTGAAGAGTGGGCTCAAAGTCTGGATAAAAAGAACTTGGTGGTGCATGCCTTTAATCCCAGCACTCGGGAGGCAGAGGCAGGTGAATCTCTGTGAGTTCGAGGCCAGCCTGGGCTAGAGAGTGAGTTCCAGGAAAGGCTCCAAAGCTACGCAGAGAAACCCTGTCTCGAAAAAATAAATATGTTTCCATTTCAGAAATGATTCAGGGCTCCCACAAAAAGACTCCTTGTTAAGCCACGGATTAGGTAGCTTTACCTACCACCTACTTTTTTTTCAGATCCTTCTTTAAAAGCCTCATAGTAAATAACAACCAGTGCCCGGCTTCTTATTTTTTCAGTCAGTGAAAAATAGTGAACTTCTTTCAGTTCTTCCGAACAGATTTCAGCTACTACTTGCTTAAAGCTAGCTGTAGAGTAGTGCTTAAGACTGTATCACACCGAAACAGTAAAAATTTCAGTTACCTGGTTACACACAAAGTATATGCGGTTTTCAAACAGTTAAAGGAAGTACCTTGTCTTTTTAAAAAGGCCTCTCCTCTACCCAGGAGACACTTAACAGGCACACGTTTCTTGGTATGGGCGTCAGATGCCCTGGAACCAGAGTTACAGATGGTTGTACGCTGCTATGAGGGTGCTGGAACTTGAATCTGGGTCCTCTGGAAGAGCATCCAGTGCTCTTATCTGCTGAGCCATTTCTAGAGTCCCATTCTGGCATCTTAGACTAAGAATTTGGGGACGACATCTTCCCTTTATTATAGGTGTTACAGATTATTTCGGGCTTCCAAATGCTCTTGCAATTTCCTACCGCACCCCGTCATTCACTTCGTACCAAGATTTTCTAGGAAATAATCCTGGTAGCATTAGCTTTTCGAGAAGCCTATCACAACCACCAGCTTTCCATTTGTGAGAGGAATAAGCTTCTCCGTGATTATTAGGAGAAGATTAACGACAACGGACAACGGAGACCGTAACGCTTCAGGCTACACTTCCCCCTACAATGGGAACCTCCGCAGCAACTAGTAAGAACTGCGTTTCCCAGTGTGCCTTAAAGTCCCGGCAGCACGTGGCCGCCGGGATTCTCTCCTCGCTTTTTGTCAGAAGACGGTTGCACCGCGCAGCCAACATTCCTAAAACGCCCATTGGTCCACACCCTGGGGCCAGGCTCCCGGAGGGGCCCGAGAGCTCATTGGTCCGCCTCTCAATGAACCGGACCACGCCGGTTCCTCCGCCACCCTGGTGGCCCTGGCGCCCCGAGGAACACGGCGGAGCCCGTGCACCGGCCCCCGAAGCCGGCAGCTGGTGTCACCGCCGCCGGGTCCACGCATCCTCAGTCCCAACTGCACACTTCGAGGCGCGATCCCATTCTCCACAGCGAGCCCACCAGCAGCTCTTCGCGCGACGTCCCGTGGTCGTCGCCGCGGGTGCCCGCCCGGGTGCGAGCGCCGGGGCCCCCCCAGGTTGCTTCGCTCCAGCTTAAGGCATTATTAAACAGGTCCCCGGGCTGACCGGCCTCCATCCACCCCCGTGATCGCCGCTCGGTAGTAACAGGTTACACAACCCAAGGTCAGGGGACCCGGGGGGCGAGCCCCGGAGGGTCCCGAGGCGCTCGGCTGCGGGGCACGGCGGGCCCAGCACTGCGACACGGCGGCTCCCGCCCAACCCCGCCGCCCGAGCGCCGCCACGCGCGGCAGCCTACCCCGCGGCGGGAGGCCTGCTCCCGAGCCCCGCGGCCCAGCCAGGCCCGCCCAGCTCGCGCTCCGCCCGCCCGGCCGCCCCTCACCCGCGCGGGCACGCCGTGACGAGCCACACCTGCCGGAGGGCCGCGCGCCCCCCGCCCCGGCCCCGGCCCCGGCCGCCCGGCCGCCCGGCCCCGCCATCCGCCGGGGACGTTACCTGAGCACGCGGCCGCGCCGGCCTCCTCCCCTCCCCTCCCCCCGGCGCAGGCGGCCCCGCAACGGCAGCGGGGAGAAGCCCGTTCCCGCCCGCCGACCTGGCCCCACCTGAGGCCGAGCCTCGAGCCTCGCGGGCGGCGGCGGCGAGCCCCCCTCCCAGGCCCCCCGCACCCACCTTGGGATGGTGCGGAGATCCCCAGATCCCTGGCTTGCGTCGGACTGCTGCCTGGAGAACCAGACCTCCAGCAGTTTCTCGGTCCCTTCGAAAAAATGTGCAGCTTCCATCACCGTGAGACGAGCGAACAACCAACAACCACAGAAAATCAACTAAATTAAATCTCTTCTCCCGCCGCTCCTGCCGCCGCTGCGGATTGTTCCAGCTGTGTTACTAAAGTTCAGGTTCCTTTTTTTTTTTTTTTGCTATAATTTTATATTAACTTTTTTTTAAAAAAAGGACTAATAAAATTTTCCCGGCTATTTTTTTTTTTTTTTTTTTTTTGTGAGCGAAAGTTGAATGTGAGTCTGTTGGAAATAGAGGCAGATACAGTTCAGTCTCTTGTAGTCCGCTGCTTTCCCGTTAGAGAGAGTTGAGCGAGCGCTAGCTAATGTCGCCGGCCATACTGTGTAAGCGAGGGTTCTGCGTGAGCGCAGACCTTATATAAGGCATCCTCCCCGGCAGGCCAGGAAGTGACGCCATCGCCCCGCCCTCGGGGCCTCATAGGCCCAGCGCCGTGTCAGTCAAACGTCGCCGAGCGCCGGCTGGCTGGCGGTGGGCCTACTGGGAGTGCAGAGGATTTGCAGCTTGGTTGCAGATGGAGCTGCCGCTGTCCCCAGAGCGGGAGACCGCACTGTTGTCCGGCTGGGCACTTGGGAAGCTGGGCTTGCTTGGAGAACTGTTGGGGCGAGCGGGAGTTAGACAAGGCTGTCCCACGCTGCATACAGCTGGTTAGCAGAGAACAAGAGGGAGTCTTGAGGGGTGTCTGCGGGGCTCGGCGGGGGCGGTGGCCCCTACTGGGTTGGCGTGGTGGCTTTGGTCCTATGGAGTTCCCCGCTTCAGCCGAGGGTTTTGTTGTTTTGTTTTGCTTTTTTGTTTTTGTCTTTTTTTTTTTCTCTTTTAAGCCATTTTTTTCATGTGTTTTTTTCGAGACGAACGCAGCCAAGGCAATGCAACTTAACGTTTGTCGGTGACGTACGTGTTGCCGGGGGTCGGACTGGAAAGCGCTTTAATTCTGCTGGTGCTTTTATCTGATGTGAGAATGAATGCCGCTCTCGACGGGTTTACACAATAGCCAGAAGCGTTGTCTTCCTATTTCAAAAGAGAAGAGCAACGTGGCGCCCCAGCCTTGCAGGGCTCCGGCGCTACCTACCTCCCACCGTGTGCCTCGCCTCGCTTAGGAGTTGGCTGAGTGCAGCAGCCACCTTTATCAACCCGTGATCCATTAGGTCAACTGGTGGAGATGTAGTTTGCAAAACTTTCCAGGAACTAGCTTTATTAAGTATAACACGAGGCTATTTGATAATATTTTTCTTGGACTATTCTTAAAGGGATGAACTAATTGAAAGTCTTTCTCTCAACCACTCCTCACCCCCAAAAATTTACAGTGCTTTCTCAAATGCCTAAGAAGGATTTTCACGGATATATAATAATAGTATAAACAGGTATCCAAGACTTTTTACTAGTAAACTAAAGTATAAATTAAAGATCGAATTAGTTTATTTTATTGTATTTTTATTTTTGTTTTTCGAGACAGGGTTTCTCTATAGCTTTGCGCCTTTCCTGGAACTCACTTTGTAGTCCAGGCTGGCCTCGAACTCACAGAGATCTGCCTGCCTCGCATGCGCCACCACCGCCCGGCTTAGTTTTTTATCCTAAGTAGCAAAAGATGGTAACAAAGTTATTAGTTACTTGGGATTACTGGGGGAGGGGGGAATTCCCCAATCTTGTAAAATTAAAAAACTATTGTTGTCGAAAGACAAAGTGACCTTTCCCTATTATCATTACTGAAAACACTGCTGAAATTTGCTTTTCTCTTACAAGAGCATGGGTTCACATGTCTCCATGAAATTTGTTAAGCTGTGTGATGAGGTAGGTACATATACTATTTTTGCCATATTTTTAAAGACATCTAACTTAAACTGGGGATTAGAACAAAATATAATAAATGTGACTTATTTATTATAATAGTAATTCAAGGAGGATGTGGTTGTAGTTGGAATAAAGATTAAAGGAATATTTCTGTGTTTTACAAGCTATTCAATTATTTGATGGTTGCTTATTGAAACAAAGACTGCCTACTAAACCACCTCAAACACTAATTGTGGTATAAATATAATTTGGCTTATAATTACTTATAATTAGTTGCTTTTTCAATTACTATTATGCTTTTTCCCAACTTAATTTAAGTTAACAAAACGGCCAAGAATCTTGGCACGGTCACACATTGTTAATTGGATACAGGGTAACTTAACTAGTGTCAATGAACTACATTGTTTCTTTGTAAAATGTATCGTTTTTTTTCTTAAGGACCATTATTATAGTGAAGCTCGAATCACTTGTGCTTTTAGCGAAGGTAGTTAGTTTTTGCTTATATTTCACAAAACTGAGTATATCCAGAAGTTATTTATCATCATTCTTAAACTAGTCTCTTTCTTTCAATGATCATTCTTTCCTACTTTAAAAAAAAAAAAATGAGAAGCCAGGTGATGTTGGCTGGCGCCTGCCTTTAATTCCAGCACTGGGGAGGCAGAGGCAGGCGGATCTCTGTGAGTTCGAGACCAGTCTGGACTACAGAGTGAATTCCAGGAAAGGCGCAAAGCTACAAAGAGAAACCCTGTCTCGGAAAAAAAAAAAAGAAAGAAAGAAAAGAAAATGAGAGAGACGGCTCAGTTGTTACAAGGATTTGCTGCTCTTTCAGAGGACAGGGCTTGATTCCCAGTATACACATGCTGGCTCATGTACATCTGTAACTCCAGTTCCAGGAGATCCACCATTGTCTTCTGACTTCTATGGGCACCAGGCAAGCACAAGGCATACATATGTACATGCAGGCAAACACTCGTGCATAGAAAATAAAAATAAAATTCTTTTCAGAAGTGCTTATTTAACATAGCATTTTGCCATCTTCCTCTTTTGCTTTTGTCCTAAGAATTAAGCCAAGGACTTGAACTATGTAGCCAAGGCTGGTACTGAACTTGGAACCCCTCTGCTCCTGTCTCCTAAGCGCCAGGATCATAATCATTCATTTCCCTTTGTAGTCACTCCTGTTGGGATCTTACCCAATTTGGTTGGAAAGAAGCTGGGGACTGAGCCCAGAGTTTCCATATGCTAAATATATGCTGTACTACTGAGTGTGTGTGTGTGTGTGTGTGTCTGTGTGTGTGTGTGAGTGTGTGTGTGTCCGTGCGTGTCCATGCACATCATATCCTCAGCTTACATGTGGAGATCAGAGGACATCTTCGGGAAGTTGGTCCTCTTTTTTTCACCATAAATGTCCTGGAGATCAAACTCAGGCCATCAGACTTGGTGGCAAGCACCCTTACGCACTGAACTGTCTTTCTGGCATCCAAGGCCCAGCTCTAAAACGCCTTACTTAACTCTATTTCTCCCTTTGTGTATCATCCATGTTTTTCCTCTAAATCTCCCCAAAAGATGGCAAGACAGATGCATACTTATGGCCTGTTCCTCTCCATTGCTCCTTCGGATCCCAGAAATGGGTTTTTATCCCTGGGAATTAAATAAAATGGTATTTTTCAAGGCCCACATTTGGTCAAACCGAATGATTCAGTTTTTGAATAGTTTGTGATATAGTACACCAACCCCTCCCCCAAAAGCTGGGGTTTGAACCTAGGGCCTCAGGCACGCTAGACCATACCCCCCGCCCTTGCTTCAGGAAAGGCTTCCCTGGGCTCTTGTGATAATGCCCTCTCTGATTTTCTTTTTCCATGGGGTTTTCTTCCTCATGACATAAGAGTTCTTACTCTCCTCTCTGCCTTTCTCTTCATATACAGTCTTTCCCAGAAGACCTGTTCATCCAGTTCACACTTTTTTTTTTTTTTTTTTGGTTTTTTTGTTTGTTTTCGAGACAGGGTTTCTCTGTGTAGCTTTGCGCCTTTCCTGAACCTGGCTTTGTAGACCAGGCCAGCCTCGAACTCACAGAGATCTGCCTGCCTCTGCCTACTGAGTGCTGGGGTTGGGGGCAAAAAACTATGTTAACCTAACTAACCTAGTTTCATTTCTAAAATACCCTGATCTAAACCAAAACCAAACCAAACAAACAAGTAAAAAACCACCTTACTGGAGAAAGGGATTTATTCTGCTCATAATTCCAGGTTACATATAGTCCATCATAGCAAGGACTGGAACTTGAAACATTTATTCACCTCCACGGTGAAGAACAGAGAGGAATGACTATAAATGCTCGCTTCTATTCAGCTTCATTTCTCTGCTTTTTTGTTTAAAGATTCTGCCTCTCCTATCTATCATCTATCTTTTTTTTTTTAGATGAATGCCTTCGTGAATTTATGTGCACTAATGCATTCCTGGTGTCCTTGTAGGCTGGAAGAGAACCTGGAAGAAGAACTGGAGTTACAGGCAGTTGTGATCCACTGCATGGGTGACGGGAACTGAGCCCTGGTCCTCTATAAAAACCAATAAACGTTCCTAACCACTGAGTCATCTTTACAGCCTCCATTTCTCTTTAATTGTTGAGGATATAACCCTCAGGAGCGGTACTGCCCACTGGGTTAGGTCTTCCCCGCTCAATTAAGGCAGCCATGATGATTAGTCACAGACAAGTTCACAGGACAACTTGATCTTGACAGTCTTGCATTGAGATCATCTTCCCAGGTGACAATTAAAACTGACCATCACACTGACCTTTAAACTTCTATGTGAGCCCATCCTGAAGACTACTTCACTATCAGCATCTCTACCATCCTCTCATTTGTCAAAGTCATACTGACCTTTCTACCTTTAGGTAAATGTAATTCATCTGAAACATTTTCTTTTACTCTTTGTAGGATTTGTTCATTCTTTCATTTTTATTCTTTGAGACGGGTTCTCAGGATGTAGCCCAGGCTGGCCTCAAACTCTCTCTCTCCCTGCCTCGGCTTCCCAAGTGCTGGGATTGCAAGTGTGAGTCATCAGGTCTGCCTCAGCTTGTTAATTCTAGCAATTTGAGGTTTTAGTTTAAATGTTGTTTCTTCTGGGAGCTTACCTATGACGGAGGGCCAAGATGTAGTGATCCTCAAACATAGTGATTCAAAAAAGATTAAAGTTTGTTTGTACTGGCACAACATGCAGAGGCAGGCAGATGGTCCAGAGTCAGTGGACAGCTCTGCTCCAGGAGATTGCTAACCTGTTTTTCTCGTGGGGTGTGTTGATATAAAAAGAAAAAAAAAAGAGTTCTGAAACAAGAGAGTCATTTATTCCAAGCCACTAGGGAGGACCCTACTTCCTAGAAACATACATTCAGGTTAATATTTGCTCCTAAAGGATATTGTTCCACCAGGACATGGTTCCACCCATAAAGAGATTACAAAACCATTTGTAGTCACAGAGGGAAGTAGGCAGCCATCAAGTCAACAGACGCCAAAAAGTTGGGGAAATCTAGGCTAGAAAGATGGCCCAGCAAGAAAAGGTGTTTGTCTCCAAGCCTGAAGACCTGAGTTCCATGCCCAGAACCCACATAGTGGAAGGAGAGAACCAACTCCTACTAGCTGTCAAAATGTCTTCTGACCCCAACACATGGTCTATGGCATGTACTCCTCCCCCCGCCCCACAAAACCTAAAAAGATTCTGGTGCCTTTTCCTTCCTAGCCTTATGATTTAATAGAGGCCAAAAAAGCTCATTCAGCCTTAAGATAAACTTCAGGACAGGGCTGCTGATGGCACATGCCTTTCATCCCAGCACACTGGAGGCAGAGGAAAGCAGCTCTGTGAGTGTGAAGCCAGCCTGATCTACACAATGGTTTCCAGGACTGCCAGGGCTATGTGAAAAAACAAAACAAAACAAACAAACAAAAAAAAACATACAACGAAAGCTCAGGACTTTAATCCAGGAGTGACACATAAAATGCCGTCAAACACAGAGACACAGAGGTCAACAGTAAGTAGCTGTCAGAGGACCCAATACAACTTGGACTTCTTTTTGTAAATTTGAGGCATAATCTTGTATGTAGTCTAGGTCGTCCCAAGTGCTGGGATAACAGGTGTGTGCCACTTTACCTGGCCCCACATTACTTTTCTTGTTGATGTGACAAATGGCTAACAAAGGCAACATGAAGAAGGAAGGGCTCGTTATAGTTAATGCTTTAAGAGGGAATGTTGTCCATCATGGCAGTGAAGACATGCTGGCAGGAAAGGGAGATGACTGGTCGGTCACACCGCATCAGCAGTCCAGAAGCAGAAAGTGGTGACTGCTGGAACTGCACTCACTGTCTGTTTTTTACCCATCCTGGTACTCCAGTCCACGGGATGCTGCTGCTCACACGCAGGGTGGGTCTTCCGCCCTCAGTTAAACTTCTCTGGAAACATCTTCACGGACATTTCTAGAGGTATACTTCCTAGTTAACTCAGAATCCAGTCCTGTTGACAATGAAGATTAACCACGATAGGCTTCTTAATTTACAGTGCTCCATCTTTCCATGAAGTCCCAACACTCTAATCAGTGAAAGATGCAGTCCTCCGTTCTCATGATTAAAGCTTGTGAACACCTCTCCACATTCTGGACTGCAAGAAGAGGAAGACAAGAGATGAAGAACAGTTTCTATATAAAAACAGGATCTGGAGACAGCATCAGCTTGGTTTGTGCCGTAGTTGGAACAAAATCAGTTCCTTCCAAAATCTGGTGGTTGCCAATGTACTAACATTAAGAGATGATTAGGGCCAGGTGGTGGTGGCACACACCTTTGATGCCAGCACTCAGGAGGCAGAAACATGTGGATTTCTGTGAGTTTGAGGCCAGCCTGTTGTACAGATTGGAATTCCAGGTTAGCCAAAGATACACAGAGTAACCTTGTCTTGAAAAACAAAACAAAAACAAAAACAACAAAAAACAAAACCAAAAATAAAACAAAACCAAAACTCAACCAAACAAATGAACAAAAAAAGATACAATTCTACATAACATGACATACTCCTATATGTGGTGTTAGCTATCTGTTGCTGCAAAACAAATCCTGCAAACTTGAGTGACATAAAACAGCACACACTTCACTCTCTCACTCTTCCTGTGGGTGTTCCTGTGTGGCCCAGCTGGAGTCTCTACCCCAGGGCCTCTTACAAGGCTATACTCAGCTTTTCAATTTCTTTTAGTCAGTTTGAGCTGCTAGAGCAGAATACCGTACAGAGAGCCTTATGAACAATAAGAGTTGATTTCTCATAGTTCTGGAATGGAAAGTCCAAAACTGGGTGCCAGAGTTGGGTTCCCAGGAGGGTCACCACACGGAGAAGAAGATTCAAAAGCTCTCAGATACCTTCTTCTTTTCCTCTTTTTATAAGGAAGGGCACTAATCCCACTCAGGAGGATTCCACCTTAAAAACCTACTTACTTCCTGAGGGCCCTGTATTAATAACATCACATGAGGAGTAGGATATCAAATTATAAATTCAGGGGGCTGTGACAGAACATTCAGTCCATAACAGCCCACGCTCTTGAGTCTCATTTCAAGACTCAACTAAGGAAGGGTTTTTCCAACCTCATATGATTGTTGGCAGAATTCAGCTCTTTCCTGACTGTTGAGCCGAGTGCCTCAGTCCCGCACCTCGGGACATCCTAACACCTTTGCATTGTTGCCATACTCTTTTGTTTAAGATCATAAGCAAGTTGCTTTGAAGGAAAATGGATTCTACAGGCCCATGCTAGGCAAGTGCTCTGCCACTGAGCTATGCCCTGCGGCCATTCATGTGCTTTTAATCTGAATTTAAAATGAACAGTGCCAAAGCTGGCTCTTGCCTGTTTGTGAGAGCCAATTTCTATATGTTCAGAAAACTTGGGAGTGAACTGATATCACATTGTTAGCACGAAATTGGCTGTGGTCAAATTACTCACTTCAGTGAGACGGTGAACACTGCAGTCCAAGAGGTGTTTGTTACATGTTTACCAACTCTGCTGGTTCATTTTAACTGTCAGCTCAACACAACACAGGAACCACAGGAAAGAGAGTCTTAATGTGGAGTTATCTAGACCAGGGCTTGTGGTCATGTCTGTGGGGGATGGTTCTGACTGAAAATTTACGTAGGAAGACCCAGTCTATTGTAGTCGGCACCATTTCCTGGGCAAAGGGTCTTAAACAGTGTAAGAGAAGTGAAAGCTAGCTGAGAGCAAGCAGGGACCCATGTGTTGATTCTCTTTGCTCCCGACTGTGGATGTTATGTTTTACGTTCCTACCTTAGCATCCCCAAGATAATGGGCTGTAACCTAGAACTGTAACCCAAATAAAACCTTTCTTTCTCTAGTGTGCTTTTCATGGGGCATTTGTCACAGCAACCAAGGTACCAACATACCACTGATTGGCACAAACCCGTGAGACTAACGTTGTTGAAAACATGGTTTTGTTTTTTTTTTCTCATGTAAATATGAGTTCTACTACTCGAGGCTGTTATGAGGCTTTGCAGAGAAAAGCAAGACAAGTGGGATTAGTTTTGTTTTTGAGGCAGGGTCTCTCTACATAACCCTGGCTGACTTAGAGCTCACTACATAGGCCAAGCTGGCCTCAGACTCACAGAGATCTGCCTGCCTCTGCCTCCTCCGTGCTGGGATTAAAGACATGTGCCAATATACCTAAGAGACAACTGTTTTTGAAAGTGCAAAATATCACATAAAAGTAAAATATGGTGGTATTACTACAAAATACAGACGCAATGGAAGGAGGAGGAGGAGGAGCACTCCCAAGAATCAAGACGGGAAAGCAACGGAGGCCGGGGCCTGGAGAGAGAGGAAGGCAGCGGAAGAAAAGACTAGAAAGCCTGAGTGGCTCACATCAAATCATAAAACAAAAGTGTCCAGAGACAGGCTGGAGAGACGGCTCAGCAGTTAGGAGCACTGACTGCTTTTCTGGAGGACCCGGGCTCGATTCCCAGCACCCACGTGGCCGCTCACAACTGTCTGTAGCTCCAGTTCCAGGAGATTCATTGCCCTCTTCTGGCCCCCACAGACATGGCATGCAGGTGCTACACAGACACACAGGCAGGCAAAACACTCATAAAAGATAAATTTAAGTGACACATACAATCTGTCTCAAAAGCTCTTTGACTGGTTTGGTTTTTGTTTGTTTGTTTGTTTGTTTGTTTGTTTGTTAAGAGATATGCCAAATACGAGAAAGCTGTATTACTTAGGATGACTGTTCTGTGTTGTATATCAACTTACCAGACACAGATGAAAGACAAGAAACAGAGCTGGTGTGGTGGCTTATTCCTGTAACTGCTGCCAGTTCAAGGCCAGCCTGGGTGATAGAGTAAGGTCCTGTCCCTACAAAACCAAACCAAGCCAAACAAAAACAAAAAGATAAGAAATGGAAAAAACTAAACTAGTGAGAGTATGGCATCAAAATATAATAACAATCTCAATGTTTCCAGGATGAATCAAATATTTAACAGCTGATAAGAGTGGTTGGTGCATGCCTGGACTCCCAGCACTCTGAAGATTGAGACGAGAGATTATGACTTTGAG